CTCTGGACAGGCGATGGTGATCTATTTCGTTGTTGGAGACACATAAGAAGAAAAGTCCAAACAGGAGATGACAGGTGTTAAGTACTAGTAAAAAACCCCTATATTGCCCCACATGGACCTCAAACCAGCAACCTAGGCACTATTACCACCACTGTAACCTAGTGAGCTAGCTGGTCAGCACATTAACTCTTCTACAAGGAATATATGACCATAAACCACGCCGATGGATCTTGCTTCTTCAAAAATTTCTCTGGAAGAAAAAAAAAAATCACAATCTGGAAACACTGTGGACAGGCCTGAGTTCCTTCTGAGTTCCACCTCCCCACCGCGGACAGTGAAAACGAAATAGAAAAGATCAACTTGTGCCCAAAGCAGCCCTCCCTCTCCCAGGTAAAGTCGGTCTCTTTCAAACTAAGAAATACAGGTCAATGTCCCCAAAAGAGGCTTCACCTGAGGAGGCCTGCAAACCTGCAAACCCGAAATGCCCGAAGCCCTCGGCTGTGTTCTGCGCTAGACTCTGGCAGGCTGCTCCTTAGGGCAAGTTGCTGAGGCTGGCCTTGAATTTGTAATCCTCCTGTCTCGGCCTCTGGGATTACAGGCGTGTGCCATCTAGGTGGATGTAAATTTTTGATGGAGGATTCTTGATCTGGACACCCCCACACAGGCATACACTCCCCACCACAATCCTAGTACTAAAACAAATACTTTGTGTAAATTGAGACCCCTGGGTTTATGTATGAGCGTTATTGCCTTTGCTTCTGTGGGCTCAATCACCTCTTGGGAACCTGCTCTCACCTGCAATCCTCACAGTGAAAATATAACTTGTGCATTATTTTTGAGTGTCTGCTTTGTGCTAGCTACTATTTTAGAAACTGAAGATATAGAATTATAAGTGAACAAAAGTCTCTCTTTATGAAGCTTACCATTGCACAGAAAATGAAATAATCATGCAAATTACATAATAAAGTAAATGATGAAAAATAGTGTAGAGAAAAAGTTGGAAATGGGAAGGGGTATTGGGAGTGCAGGAGTTTGGGTCTTCATCAAGTTCTCTTCCTCCAGCAATAAAAACTTGAACTCTTGTTCAGTATTACGGCAGAACACTCCTCCCAAACCGCAGAGCAGAAAGAGCTGCATCTCTCTGACATTTAACATGCAAAACACCAACATGCACAATGAGAAAGATCATCCACTATATTTGCATGTTCTTTCCTGTACCAAACACTTGTGGTCTGGGAGTGAGGGTGTTTACAGACAATTATATGCAGAACAGGTACAGAATCCCAATCCCTGGGGATCTTCTAAACAAGAGGCCTTCTTTTGTCCAGTGAATGAGTATGTCCAGGAGGAAGGTGGCCAGGCGGGGAGCTGTGGGGTGCAAGGCTCAGACCCCTCTCTGAAGCTGGCTCTGCTTTGCTTGCCTGAGCCAGGTCTGCAGTTGCTGGAATATGCTCTGTGGAGAGGCAGGAAGAGCTCTGAAGGCCAGACCCCAGCTCTAGTAGACAGAAGGGGCATGGGATAAGCATGCCAGTGAGAGCACGTGGTATCCAGGGCCTTTCTCTCACCTGGCGTCCTAAGCGGAGGCTGGGAGAGTCTGAGGGTCTCTCAGGTGCCATGTCCAAGCAGTGGGAGGCACTAGGGATGAGAAGCGCTGGCTCTGAGGGTCCCAAGGTCTGTGTGACACTTAGTACATGCCAGGGGTCTGTGTCCCCTGGGAAGACAGAAGAGGGTGGTGTGTTGAGCTGGCACTGGGGGAAGCTTACCAGCCAGGTTCTAATGTCAGGCTCACCATTCACGAACAGCACTTGGGTGGCACCGGGGCTCTGGCCACCGTAGTAGGCGTTTGTCTGGGCCACGGCCTGGGCTACAGAGGAAGCGGAGAGTCCAAACACTTGCTCACATAGGTCCAACTGGGAGGGCAGGGCTGGGAGCTGGGAGAAAGGACATCCAGGACCCTTGCAGGTGACGTCTGTGAAGGGAGATACCTGAGTGTGAGAAATAGACGGAGCCAGCCCCCCGCTCTCCACCATCACTTACAGGGTTCTCCTCAGCGAGCCTGCAGTATTTTCAGAGACTGCACACCCCATGGTGACAACCCAGAGGGACAGGGCTATGATGATGAGAACCGCTCAGGAGGTGGGGATGCCAGAGGAAACCTAATGGGCTCAAGGACATCCTGTAAGGCATGAGGCCTTATGGAATTCGAGTGAGCCAGAGAACAGAAAGCACTGCAAACAGCGGAGACAGAATGTGCAAGATCTGGAGGTGAGAGGTCTCTGGAGCCACCCATGCTCAGATTGATCATGTCTCCTCTGCTTGAAACCCAGAGCTCACTGTGCTTCAGGTTAATCTAACTTCTGTAACCCCCACACCAACTCATTCCTCCTTTGCCATATATTGAGCACCTACCATGTGCTCAGAAGTTGGACTATTGGGCACATAGTGGCAAACAAACAGGTTTGGATCCTGCTGCTGCAGGACTTAATGGCAAGAAGAAATGCCTGGAGGACAACTGGACCATTTAAAGAGGACACAGAGCTACCAAAAGTGAGCATGGGAAGGCTGGCGTATCTTGAGGGAGGACGGAAGGCTTCCTGAGGGGGCATCTTGTGTGGAGACTCATAGGATGAGGAAACTGTGAGAAGCAGGAAATGTGCATCACAAGCAGCGTGAACAACACCTGCAAGTCTTCTGAAGTTAGAAAGATGGGCATGTTGAGGATCAAAACATCAAACGCCTCCTAACAATAGGAGCAAACACTTGCAGAATACTTACTGTCTTATCACCAGCTAGCCGGGCTGGCGACCTGAGCTGGGTTCACAAGAGCTGGCTGCACCAATAACTTAAGAAAATGGCTAAAGAAGCATGAGACACACAGAAATACTTTTTGCTTGCAGGAATCAGGGACGGCTCTCCATCTTAAGGGTCCATTGGAAAGAGAGAGAGAGCATGCCTGAGACCCTTTTTATTGAGAAAGACACTTGGGAAAGTTCTACCCAGATGAGACAAGAGATTGGGTTTCAGGGGGGTGTAGCCCAGTCCCACTGGGTGACACCCACTCCCAGAGCTTCATTCCCTTGCCTAGCAGAGGTGAGATCCACCTGTTTCTATCATCGGAAACCAGTGTCACACCTGCATGGCTCAAGGCTAGGGGTCAGTGCTCACTCCTATGTGGCAGCTCCCAACACTGTACACCAGCATTGTTCTTAGCATATTATGTACATCACCTCCTTTGATCCTTGAAACAACCCTATGAGAGAATACCCTTATTATTTTCATTTTAGGGCTATAGAAACTAAGCATAGCCTATATTTGCCCAAGATCACATAAGTAGGAAATGGAATTGGAATTTGAATATTTTACTTTAAATCACTATCCTCACTACCTTCCAAAGACACAGTGAGGATTTTGAACTGAAATCTGGGTTAGAAGGGCCAGATTTAATAATACAGAATATCTAGTTAAATTTGAATTTCAAATAAACAAAAACTCCACTTTTTAGTATGCCATATTTGGGACACACATATGAAATTTTTTTGTTTATCTGAAATTCAAATTTAACTGGGTAACCTATATTTTGTCTGGCAACTCCACCTGAGGTCACTAAGAAGCCAGGGGAAGGTTTTGAGCAGAGGAGCAACAAGGACCTTCCTGGATGCAGTGTGGTGGGTTGTACAGGTGAGATGAAAAATCTGGAAACCTGGTCAGGGCTGGTCAGGGGTCTAGGCAGGAGAGGACGGTCCTCTTCAGGACAGCAGAGGGGAAGAGAGAGGCAGAGGGACCAGAAGGGGTCCAAGAGTGGTGGTACTCAGTGATTAACAGGTCATCTGAATACTGCCTAGGAGACACCTAAAACTCGCCTCAGGATTCCGGTCTGGTGGCTGGGGAGAGAGGGGAGACCTCCCTGGGACGGGAGCACAGGAAGAGCAGGTGGAAGGCCTGAGTGTGAGCATGAAGAGGCCTCTGAGGTTCAAGCTCACCCACACCACTATGGCCGCCTACCCTCTCCAGCCCAGCATACAAGGTCAGGCTCGCTGTCGTACGGAAATCAAAATCAGCCCACATCACCTGTGTGATGGCCACTGGCAGGCACGGCATGTATATTTGGGTCAGTGGTCATGCCTGTCACTCACAGAAGCCGAACTCCGTGCAAGTCTGGTACAACCACTGCCGGTCACCCAGGCCAGACACTTGGGGCTCAGTGGCTCTCAGCTGTGTCACTGTCTCTGCTCGAGAAAGGCTTACACACCTCTGGCCCAGGCTGTGCATGACAATCTAGGAAACAGTAGGAACACACACATAAATTCCTTCTCCCCCCAGCAAGCTAGGGCCTGTCAGACTCATAGGAGGGTAAGCTCCTGGGAGTCAATAGTCAGAGCAGGTGAATGTTTGGGTCCCTGTACACTTATGATTGGGAGCTTATCACCTATGAGTTTTTAGGCAAGTGAAAATCTTTTGGATTTCAGTTTCCTCTTCTGTAAGTGGGCATTGTGCTAGGGCCTATCTCCTAAGAATTCAATGAATGACATATGTGAGGCATGTCTTATAGCACCCAGTCCAGATAGCACCAGAAAAGTGGGTTGGAATTGTGGATTCAGAGGTGTGGGCCCAGTCCCTATGAGAGCTCTGTTTCCAGGGCTGTGCTTTTTCATCAAATACTAATTGAGCACTTGCTATGTGCAGGACACTGCTGCAAGCCCAGAAAAGAGAACAGAACAAGAGGCAAAACAGATAATAGCCACAGTCTCTATCATTTGTCTCCTGCGTTCTCAGCTCCCAGCTAACCGCTTTACATGTCTCCCATGTCACCTTCTGAATATCAGCCCTGTGAGGTAACACCCCACTTGACAGAGGAGAAAACTAAGGCCCAGAGAGGGCTCTCGCCTAAGCCACACAGAGCGGGTGGAGCAGGAGCCCTGGTCCGCTAGGGCCATGCCAGAGTGGGTCTGGGCACCTCACCTGCACTGCGCGCCGAAGTCCACCGTAGGGCGCGGGGTGACTGCGGTTGCCGCCGCCCGCGAGGAGTCCGCAGAGCTGCCGCACGCTCAGCGGCACCCCCGCCTGCCCGTCGTACTGCACCGCGCCCCCCACCAGGGCCTGCAGCGTGCCCAGGAGCTCTGCCTGGTCTTCAGCTCGGCGCAGAGACCCGCAGGCTCCCAGCTCGGCCCGAAGCGCTGCTCGGGCGGCCCCGCCCGCGCGCAGCCGCCGCTCGACCTCCGCGAAGGCCGCGGACACCGCAGCCCGACACTGCGGGAGCGAGGGGCGGTGGGCACGGGGACCCAGGCCCGCCCGGCCCCACCACCCAGAACGGGCGTCCAGCAGGCTCCCACAGTCGGCAGTCTAGCCTCCCGCCCTCGGGCCCTGCCCACAGGTCCCCCCGCCCACCGAGGCCCCGCCCACACCCAGGCCTGGCTCCTCCCACCCCCCGTCCCCGGGTGGGAGCGCCTCCGCTCTCGACGCCCCGCCCACACGAGCTCACCCTGCGGATAGGCTCCGCTCTACAAAGCGCCGCCCACCCCGCGGGGGGCGCCTCTGCCCCCGCCGCCCCCCCCCACCCCCCCCCCCCCAGCCTCCCCTCCCCCCCAGCTCCCGCCGGCTTCGCAGACCCGGCGCTGCCCGCGCTCCAGCACCCTGCCGTCGTCGCCCTCCGCTGGCCCGGCTTCCGAGGGCTGGCCTCTCACCCTATCCCCCTCGCCTGATCCCACCTCCTACCTCCAGCGACCCACCAAGCGCCGCGTTCGCTAGGCTTCCGGACACCACCTGAAGTCGGACGCGGGAAGGATGCTCAAGGAGGTGTCCAGGGCTCCGCCCGCTGGGACTCCTCTTCCCTCCCCGGTCGCCCACATTCTTACGTCGTTGTACTCGGAGAAATCCAGCGTCGCCCGCACCGGGGCAGAGGAGGCGACCGAGGCGAAAATGAGATGCGGGAACTGAGAAAGGAGAGGCGTCAGCGGGCACCGGGGTGCCGCGTCCTCCGCCTGGGGTCATCGCCGCCGGCCCCGCGAGCCCCGGTGACACGGCTGTCAGAGCTCTTCCGAGTGCACGCGGAGCGTCGAGGGGGAGGGCTCCTATCACCGCGACTGGACCCCGCATTTGGTTCCCTCCCCGGCCCATCGCAGGGGTCCCAGGACCTTCAGTCGGGTCCAGGCAGCCAAGGAGCCGGCGTAGGAACCTCCGAAGCAAATCCAGGGGCTGGTGGAGGAGACGTTGAAGAGGCGGGAAAGAGCCAGGCGGGCAGAGACCACGTCGGCCAGCCTGGGGACAGGGGCAACTCGGTCAGCCCACCGCGGTGTGCATTCCTGCAGATTCAACCCGCGGGCAGCCCACCGAGGGACTTGGGTGGCAGAGCCAGGCTCAGTTCTCTAGCATTTCTGAGGGACCTTTAGGTCTCGTGCATTTCCGAAAACACCTGTGTCTAGGTCGGGGGAGATCCTGTCTTCCGCCTGTTAGGAAGCCTTTACCCACCTCCCCTCACTGTTTTTTAGGTGGAAAAGGAAAACTTTCCAAGTCACTTTGTTTTTCTTCTTTTTTGGGTACTGGGGTTTGAGCCCAGGGATGCGTTACCACTGAGCCTCGTTCCCAGCATTTTTAAAGACAGGCTCTTACTAAGTCATTTAGGGCCTCGCTAAGTGGCTGAAACGGACCTTAAACTTGTGATCCTCCTACCTCAGGCTCCCCCACCTGGGATTACAAGTGTGCACCACCATGCCGGTCTCCAAGGCACTTTATATTAAAACTTGACAAATATGGGGAGGAGTTGAAGGCGATGGAAGACAGCTACTCAGAGGAGCAGGAGGGGTCCTGGGCTGGATGGGTTAAAAGGTGTGGGAGAAGGTGAGAAAAGCAGAGAAAAGCAGAGAGATACTGGGATATTCCTAACGTCCTCTTTTTCCTCCTCAGGGCTTTCTGTCTTCACTTAGTGCCATACTGTGCAGTTAGAAACCAGTTTAGATTGTAGGAAAAAACTGAGATTTAGAGACACACAAAGAGAAACAGATATGGGCACAGAGCAGTGGAGACAAGAATGAGAGAGATGGCAAAGATGCTGCTGCAGAGACAGACACCGGGGAGGGGAGGGGAATAGTGTGGGGCTGGTAACAGTGGGGCTCAGAGGAGGTGGGGAGGGGCCCTGCAGATGTCTGCGGGAAGCCACTCCTGCAGACGGAAGTCTTAAGAGGCCCAAGATAGAAATGTACCTGGAGAATAGCAAGGACCTCAGGCATCTGGAGCCTAGTGAGTCAGGGAGTCAGAGGCCAGAATTAACTGAGGCTAGAGCCCTGTCAACTAGGGGGCCTTGTGGCCCTGCTAAATACGTGGGGTTCACTCTGAACAATGTAAGGGCTCCTGAGGGACTGGAGCCAGACAGGATCATTCTGGTTTGCACCTGCAAGTCAAGGAGAGAACCAGGGAGACTGGTGAAGGTGCTGGTGATCTGGACCAGTGGGCCACAGTGAGATAGAGACAGACAAGAATGGAGGGTAAGAGAAAGGCAGGGAGAGTCAGAGCCCCAGAGAAAGAAAGAGTAAGACACTACGAAAGAGAAGGAACAGGGAACCAGAGACTCCCAGGTGGGCACTGGCAGTGGAGAGGCACAGATGGAGAGGGGCCAAGGCAGACATCATTCGTCCTGAAACCCAAGCACGTTCCCTACCCCCACTCACGCGTGGCGGCTGGACAAGTATCGAAGTTGGGCCATGCCCAGGCCTCCAGGGGGTACACTCAGGCCATAAAATCTGTGTTCCAGGCTTATCACCAGGGCCCCGAAGGCAGGGGCCAGGGCTGCGGGGTGTCCTGTGAGGAGCATGGGGTGGGGAGGGAGATGCAAGCTGGGCCCTTGCCCCCTCAGGCCTCACAGTGCCACCACTGCAGTTCCCCCTGCTGTCCCCACCAGCTTCCAACCAGGCCTCTTTCCACCCTGCCTCTTACCTGCCATCACTGAGCCAGGTCCGAGGCTGCCCTCTCCCCCAAGATGCAGGAATACAGGTCCCTCCTGGCCAGCCCTATGCTGGTCATTCACCCAATACCTCTGAGAGGTGGGAAGGGGGAGAAGAAAGGCGGCATGAGAGGGAATGGGACTTTCCTTAGATACCCAGCAGCAGAATGTTTATTTGTGGGGTTATTTCTCTCCTTTCTCCTCCTCCAGGGTGCAAGAGCCACATGTGCAGGTATTTTTGTCTGCTCTTTCGTTCTTATGTCCCCAGGAGTGAGGAGGTGGCTGGTGCATGGCAGGCACGTCCTATTCTTTGAAGTAATAATCGTAGGATATGTGATGAGTTTGGGTGAATTCAGGAGTAGGGACCAAGTGAGATAAAGCTTGGGAGACTGTATATAAAGGAGGCACTGAAAAACATAGATTTGTTTATTCATTTAAAAGGGATTTGTGAGTGTCGGTTGAGATCCGATTACCAAGCTAGTTCACATTTCTGCTACATACTGCTGGAAGGCTCCGTGTGCAATCTGCAGGTCAGGGAGAGGGGACACTGAGGGGCAATGAGAGGGTAAGAGAGACAGAGAAGGAAAGAGTGAGGGACAGTACGTGAGGGACCAAGATGTGGGACACTGAGGAGAGAGATGAGAGTAAAGGTAAAGCTGAGACGTGGGTGGGGGTGGCTATACTACGTGGACCTGAGACCTGGGGCAGTGGAGCTGCATGAGAGGACTGTAAGGGGACACTGAAGCAGTACAGTATGAGACTCAGAGCAGGGGCAGAGGTGTGGACAGAGGTGTGGACTGACGGACTAAACTGTACACTGAGAGGTAGGAAGTCAGAGGCGTCACGAGAGCACGTCAGGGTGGGCAGTGAACTTCTGGTCTCACCTGCAGGAAGGACCTTCCGTCAGAGGCATTGAAGGGGTCCAGCGGCTGCTCCAGCCACCCTGCTCTTGGGAGGGTCGCAGTGCCCGGGCCCAGGCGCAGGTGCAGGCCAGAGTTCTCCTGGAGCCGCTGCATGTGCTCCCCCAGGCGTCTAAGGAGCAAGGCTGCAAGACACAGAGGGGAGGGAGTCAGGTGGCCCCCTGGCCCCCTCTTGGCCCTCCATCTTCCACTTACCTGGAGCTGAGAGCCCCCAGAGGGAGACCAGGAGCAGAGGGCCCAGCCACTGGGCGAGCCCAATGGCCATGCTGTACAGTCCCGTGAGAGGACTCTGGTGTCCTGCTTCCCACTCACCGAGGACCTTTTTCATGTCTCTAAAGGCTGGCTCAGGTTTCTTCCCTGACGCCTCTCATGGCAGGTCAAGCGTCTGTAGGAACCGCTAAAGCGGGGCAGGGACGCCAGAACCTGAGTGGCCTGCTGGTGCTGCACTTGAATTCTCCCCTCCAGCCCCCGGGGCCACCTTCCCTCTGTGCCTCCCTCTCCTCCGCTCCATCTTCTGCCTTCCCCTCTTGACTTGGGCTGCCCTGTCTCTGCCGTCCTGTCCTGCACCTTTCTACCTCTGTGCCTCCTCTTGAACCCTCAGTTGCCTGCTTGCTTTCCGTCTTTGCTCTCTGCCCCACCATATCTCCAGCCCTCTTCAGTGGCCCCAATGTCCAGTCTTAGCTCTTGCCCGTCAGTCCTGCCCCTCACCACTTTTCATCTTCAATTACAGTTTCTCTTGTCCCATAATCTCACCCTCTCTATTCCCATTTCTCGACCCCCAGTCCCAGCTCCCTGCCTTGGAAGGGCTCTGGGAACACACCAGGCTTGCTCCTGCCTTGACATTCTCACCTTTGTTCAGCTCTGTGCATTTTGCTTTCTGTTTCCATAAACCCATGTGGCTTCTTCCCTTGCCTCAATCAGATCTCAGCATCATCTGTTCTGAAAGGTCTTCCTGCGGCTATCCTGACCCTAACCCCTTGCTGGCTTTATTCTTCATTCCTTTTCACAGTGCTTATCACTATGAGAAATATTATATGTATTTTTAAATTTATGTGGCTTAGTTACGCGCGATGGTACACACCTGTAATCTCAGCGCCTCAGGACGCAGTTTGGTAAGACTTGTCTCCAAATAAAAAATAAAAAGGATTGGTGTTGTAGCTCAGTGGTAAAGTGACCCTGGGATCAAGTCCGAATACCAAAACACAAAGCAAAATAAAATCATGTGGCTCATTTTCTGTCTCTCTGACTAGAAAGTAAGCTCTCTAGGGAAGGGTTTTTAGCTCCTGTGTCCGTTGCTAATCACTTTGTTCCTAGAAGTGTGCATGGTGAGCAGTCAATAAATGTTGAGTGAATGAATAATCCATCACCCACTGCTGCTGATTCTACTTTAAATATATAATTGGATCTGATGGCGACTTTCTATATCCAGGGTCATCAATTCTGAGTTACTGTCCCTCTGACTTAGAACATCACAGAAGGTTCTCGAATGGTCTCGTGTTTCTGCCACATGATATTCTCCATTCCACAGACAGATTCTAATAACTATGAATCTAATCATTCTCTCTTATCTTACTTGAAGTAAAAACTCAGGCTCCCCGTCCCCACCCCATGTCAAGGAACCCAGGGCCACTTAACCTCTGAGCCAAATCCTCATTTTGAGACAGGATCTTGCTAAATTGCTGAGGCTGACCTTGAACTGGAAATCCTCCTGTCTTACCCTCCCTGGTGGCTGGGATTACAGGCATGCACCACCACACCCCAAGCCTAAAGCTTTTAGAGTGTCTCTCTATACCATGGAGCCTCATTGCCCTCAGAGCTCCATCCCCCTCCACTCCCTCCTGTGCTCACTGCTCAGCCGCAGGAACGGCTTCATATTCCACAGCGCATCAGCCACACTTCTTTAATCTTTGCTCTCAGTGGACAGCTCCCCTGAGATGGGCAGGTTCTGTTTTACCAGTTTCTCTAGTTCTCTTCATATTTCGCCTTACAGGGAAGTTTTACCTAACTAGCCATACAGACAGCACAGCCCCTGACCCTGGAATTCGTGCTGCTGTGGTCATCAGTGTGACCCTAACACCCGGGCCACTGGAGGCCCTTGATAGGTGATTAATAAATATAAAACTATATGGGCAAATTCATTACTTCATCAATTGATTTTCTGGCCAGGAAAGAGTACCCAGAGAACGTGCCATGAGTGGAGGTAAGAATGAGAAGCTGGGGAGTGTGAGGTGATCTGGGGTGAGAGGCTCCTGGCCCAGCAGCGGCAGGTGCAAAGACAGTCGCCAGCCCAGTGGACACCTTTAAGGAGCATCCATGGTCAGGGCTGGGGGAGAGTGAATGAAGGAACTTGAGTGAGGTGAGAAGAGAGGTCAGCAGGCCTGACTGTTCAAAAGCCATGGAGTGCACACCACGTGTTCTTCCTCTTTCCATCTGCTGATGGGCTCCTGGGCTGGTTCCATAGTTTGTCTATTGTGAGTCACACAGCTCTCAACATCATTGTGCCTGTATGCAAGTAAAGACATAGATGTGCCATGGTATGACAATTCTGGTTCTTTGAGGTAAATACCAAGGAGTGGGAGAGCTGGTGATTCAATTCCTAGTCTTAAAAGGAATCTTCTTACTGCTTTCCAAAATGGTTGTACTAATTTGCAGTCCCACCAACAATAGAAGAGTGGACCTTTTCCCCATGTCTTTACCAGCATTCATTAGTATTTGTTTTCTTGATGATTGCCATTCTGATTGGAGTGAGATGAATCTCAATGTAGTTTTCATTTGCATTTCCCTGATTGCTAGGGCTGTTGAACATTTTGTCTGTTGAACATTTGTATTTCCTGTTTTGAGAAATGTCTGTTTATGTTCTTTTTGCTCATAGAAGAATGCAATTATGGCATTTCCTGGTAAATGGATGGAGCTGGAGAACATCATGCTAAGTGAAATAAGTCAGATTCAGAAAGTCCAGGGTCAAGTGTTTTCTCTCATATGCAGAAGCTAGAGCAAAGTAAGAAAAAAAGGGGAGAGGATTCCACAAAAATGGAGGGAAGATCAGTGAAGTAGAGGAGGGCACCTCAGGGGGAGAGAGGAGGGACAGGAAGAGAAATGAACTTTGGAATAAAATTGACAAACTGTGCTTCATACATATATGGATATATCATAGTGAATTCCACCTCTATGCATACCTATAAAACACCAATTAAAAAAGTAACAAATAGAATGAAGACCAGTAGAAGAAGGGGACTGGGAGAGACAGTGGGGAGGTAAAGAGGAAGCACTGGGGACTGAAACGGAGCAGATTGTATACCATGCATGTATGAATATGTCAGAAGAAACTCACTGTTGTGTATGGCCATAATACACTGATAAAAAATAAAACATTAAAAACTGTTAAATTTTTAAAAGTTATAGAATGTCTTGGTTTTCAGTTTAAGTTTCATATGTTGCCATTGAAGGCCCCTTAAAAGATTGATGCATTAAGTCAAGCCTGGTGGCAAGCACCTGTAGTCCCAGTACTTGGAGGGTGAGGTGAGCCCAGGAGATCATGTGAAGGCCCTGTCTCTAAACAGATAAATAATTTAATTAGTAGATTGGTATATCTATTAATTTGTTTTTTTAAAATATTTTTTTAGTTTTAGTTGGATACAATACCTTTATTTATTTTTATGTGGTGCTGAGGATCGAACCCAGGGCCTCGCATGTGCTAGGCAAGCACTCTACCACTGAGCCACAACCTCAGCCCCATTAATTTGTTTTTTTGTGAAGCATCAACTTACTAAATTGTTTTAATTGCTACCCTGGAAAGACAGAGCTCTTCACCCCAACTTAACAAGAAGAAGACAAATAGTCCAATTAAAAAGGGACAAGGGATTTAAACAGACATTTCAGCAAAGATGTGCCAATGGCCAATGAGCACATGAAAAAAAATGTCTTTCATCATTGGTCATTACTAAAATACAGGAAAAACACAACAACAAGAACAAAATAAAAAACCCCCGAGGTACTTTTTATTTACAAGGTCTTTGGTAAGCACTCTACCACTGAGCCACACTCCCAGCCCAAAATACCTCCTCATACAGGGATGGCTGTAATGAAGACTGACAGTACAAGTACCAGAATATAAAATGAAACAACCACTTTAGGGAACTCTTGAACTCATTAAAAACAAACAGCAAAAACAAAATCAAAACAAAAACCCACAATGGCTACCCTGGTGCACACCTGTAATCCCAGCAGCTCAGGAGGCTGAGGCAGAATGATTGCAACTTCAAAGCCAGCCTCAGCAATTTGGTGAGACCCTCTGTCAAAATTAACAATAAAATGGGCTGGGGATGTGGCTCAGTGGTAAAGCGCCCCTGAGTTCAAGTCCAGGTTCCAAAAACAAGATAAAACAACAACAAAAACAATGTCTATAATTAGTTATGATTTATATACCATAAAATTCACTTTTTTTTTTTTTTTTAAGTGACAGGGTTTTCCTATGTTGACTCCTGGGCACCAGAGATACTCCTTGGGAAGGTGAGACTTTCCAAGTATTGGGTTCATCTTTTTTAAGTGCACAATTCAGTGTTTTTAAGTAAGTATACAGTTTGGTATAACTGTTACCACAATCCAGTTGAGAACATTTCCAGGCACCCTGGAGACTCTGTGTGCCTGATTGTAGCAGTTCCCACCCTCATCTCCAGCCACAGCCACCTGTTTATTTCTCTGTGGAGTTGCCTGTTTTGGACATTTCACATGAGCGAGATATTACAATATATGCTCTTTTGTGTTGGGCCTTTTCACTTTGCATTTTTTTGAGGTTCATCCATGTTACTTCTTTCTTTTTATGGCTAAATAATATTGTACTGCATGGACATAAGATATTTAATTTATATATTAATCAGTTGATGGACATTTGGGTTATTTCTGCTTTTTTGCTCTTTTGAATGATTTTACTACAAACACTTATATACAGGTTTTTGTGTAGCTATATATTTTTATTCTCTTGTATAGATACCTATATGTGGAGTTGCTGGGTCATGTTTAAAATTACATATAATGTTTTAGACAACTGCTAAACTCTTTTTCAAAATGGCTCTACCACTTGAGCAACATCTGACTCTTGTGGGAAGGCTCCAACTCCAAACCTGGAGATATCAGGAAAGTGAGAACTGAGAGATTCCCAGACCCACCCCCCTACCAAAAAAAGAAAAAAAAATTGAGGCAGCGTTGCAGCAGCGAAGATGCCCTTTGAGTGGGAAATCAGATCTTTTCAGCCTGGTGGTGCCTGGA